CCCCGCGGCGCTCTCCGCGGCCGTCCGCCCAGCTCCGCGCGGTCCTAAGCGCCCTTCGTTCCGGTCTTCCTTTTCTCCCAGCTCTGGTGCGCCCTTCAAGCGGCAGCCGGGGACCGCTTGTGTGTGTGCGGGTGTGGGGAGGAGGAGGAGGCGGGAGGGGAACGCGGCGGGCGCGGGGGGGGGAGGGCGGCGGATATAATTTGAGGCGCATTTAGGGACCCCCCCCGATCGTTCTTATTTCGTTATTTTTGCCCGACTTTCGTCCTTTCGTTTTCTCTTTGTGTACGAGTGCGGGACGAGCGGGGCCGGCGGCCGCGCCCCGGGGCTTCCGGCGCGGTGGGTTTGCGGTGTGGGAACGGCTGGAGGCGCGGGCCGCAAGCTGGAGAGCTGGTGGGTTGATGGTGGCGGCGGCGGCGTGGGGAGGGCATGTGGGGGGGAGAAGACATGGACAACCTAGTGATCAGACTCTCTCCGGCTCCGCGTCTTCATCTGGGGTCTCCCTCCCTCCCTCTCTCTTCCTAGCGCGATCGGGGTTTGGAGAGTAGTGGGGTCTGAGGCGCTGGGGAGGTGAGATCGAGGCACCCCCCCCCCTGGCCGGGCTGGGCCGGAGTCACCGGGGAAGGGGGGGTCACGATGGGGTGGGTGACCAAGTGAGCCGAGGCAGTGGAAGGGGAGCGGCGTGCTATTGTTAACTGTTCTGCGCCGAGGAGGGCTCTGGGTCCCACCGGCTTGCCTTTCCAGCATCCTCCCCGCCTGGGCGCGGGCCTCTCGGCTCCCGGAGGCCGGGTGCGCGCGCCAGCGCGCGGCGAGGGCGCACGGCTGCCGGGGCCGGGGCGGCAGGCCGGGGCCAGATTCATTGTGTGGATTTCTCCGTCACAACCCTAGGGTGGGTGCAGCACCACGGGGAGGGGGGGCGGGCAGGCATGGGGGAGATTATGGGATGTTCTATTTGGGGGTGCTCCACCTCGCACCTACCCTCCAATAGCTTTCCCCCTTCTTCTTTTTAAAGGTAATCACCTTTAGGATAGGACGTTTGCCATTCGCAATCGAGTCATCAGCAATTCATGAACTCTACCGAGGGAGGAGGGCAAGGGTGCCAGGGAGGTGCCACGCGGGGGGGGGGAGGGCAGGAGGGGGCGCGTTCGGGAGGGGGCGGGGAGAGAGGTCGGCGGGCGAGCCCTGCAGGTACGGTTCAGTGGCTGGAGTGGAGGCCGCGAAACAACCACCCCAAAAAGGCGAGACCTCCTCACCCCTCCTCGATCCTAGAGGTTGGAGAAAGGTGTCGCCAAGGAAGTGACATCTCCCCTCAGACTCGCTCGCCCAGTGTGTGTGTGGGGGGGGGGGATAGGATAGGGATGGGTGTTGTTGGGAGGAAGGGCGGGGGCGGAAGCCCCTGGCCCCGGGTTACAGAGGGACGGGCAGGGGGCCTCCAAGATCGGCGCAAGCTGGCGGGTAAGCTGGGGAGTCGGCTTGAGGCTGGAGAGGAGGAGGGAGGGAGGGCGCGCCTGGGCGCTCTGCGGTGCCACTCACCCGGGTTGGGATGGAGCTGAGTGGGTGGCTGTGCGCAGTGGGGGTGGGGAAGGAGGGTGAGGCAGGAGGGTTATTTAAGTCTTTCATCCGGTTGCAGTGGGAAACAGGCCCCCGGGGGTGACAGCAGTGCCGCGGTCTCCCGCTGGTTGCTGCTGCTGCTGCTGCTGCTTGCTGCGGCGGCAGGTCCCAATATTAGCAACCTCTGCAGCGCGGTGCTGGTGCCTGGGAGCCTCCTCCTCGTCTTCCTGGCCCCGCCCAGAGGGTGGCTGGGGCGGCGCTAGGACCCTGCGGCCCCAGCAGGGAGGGCGGTGGGAGCCAGCAGGGCCCGGGTGGGGGCGGAGGGGCTGCGGCAGGCGGTCACACCTGGCGCGCCGCACCGTGCGCAGCCGGGGCCTCACCTTCCGCCTCCTCCCATCACCCCCCTGCAGCGGCCGCCTGCTCACTCGGGGGACTGAGTCTGCAGCCGCAGCTTCAGAGTAGCTGTGGATGGGGGGGGGGGGATGGGGATGAGGGGGGGTGGGTTTACACCTTGATTGGAATGGGAGGTGCATTTTTCTCTACCTGGCAAGAAAAAAAAAAAGATTTCTGCCGTCCCCACCCCTCCACCGCCTGCAGCTGCAGGTGACCGCAGCTCCGGGCAAAGCCTGGCGGTGACACAGCAGCAGCAATGTAGGGGACACGGGGGTGGGGTGAGGGGAGTCTTACCGCGGTGCAGGCCGGAGCGGACAGCTTAGGAAAGGACCTTGAGGGAGTCCTTTGTCTCCTCCCCCACTTGGGGTGGGGTTTGGTGTGGCCTTTGAGGTTGGAAAAAAGAGAAAAGGCACTAGGGATGTATCTGGGCTATTGAGTTCTCTTCCTATACATATTGGCACTTTAAAGTACTCCAGACTTGCTAGTTGGAAAAAAAAAGTGAGCAAAAAATTAACTAGAGCAATGGTGATATAGAGTAGCCAGAAAGTGAATGGTGCCCACCTCTCCCTTCTGTAATCCTAGCTAATCAGGAGGCTGGTTCAAAGCCAACTCAGGCCAGAAAGTCCAAGGGACTCTTCTCTCCAATGAACTAGCAAAAAAAAAAAAGCCGGAAGTGTAGCTGTGGCTCTTGTGGTAGCATCAGTCTTGAGAGACAAGTCTAAGGGACATTGCCTAGACCGCGAGTTCAAGCCAGTACTGGCACACAACAATTGAATGCAGGGCCTGTAAAAGCCTAAGCTGGCTCACCTCCTCTTCAAGTGGGATGGTAGCTCTGTACTTCATCAGCACTCCAACTCCAACCTAGCCACTCAAAGGGAGCAGTGTGTCAGGTGGAGGTTGCATTAGAGTGAAGAAATATGATGGTATGATTTATTTAGAAATAAAAGTTGGCTTAAAATTCTTATTTCCAGCTTTTGCACTTAAAATTATGTCCTTTTTGTATGGCTCTTCAATTATCTCTCTAGAGGCAAAGTCTGCCTGTATAAGGAGCTGTTTTGCAGCTTACTTAGGATTCTTGAAAACTTTGTGGGCCTCTATCTCCTATTCTCCTGGTTATTTTCTAAGTAAACTCAGGTTTGATCATCTCCCTACAGGTCAACTTTGCTGGATACAGACTCTGATTATAATCTAGTCCCAGGCTTTCT